ACATATGCCTCTAGTACCTCCCCTTCCTATTGCCTATACCCATAGCTCGTTCCCCTCATTGTCTGTGTACCCCTTGAATACAAACCCTTTCTTTTACAGATGTGCTTACCATGGCTTGCATACCCCAAATTATATAAGCTTGTGAGAGAATACATTAATGCCTCTTTCTGTTTCTGGTCGCCAAGGAAGAGGTGAGGCCTTACATGCTTTGTCCCATGTCTCTTTTAATTTACCCCTCAGTTACACAACTGCCCCTTGGACCCATCCAGATGTGGGGCTTGATCCCACGGGGGACTGCAGCCAATGCCATGGAACAACCTAAGTATAAATTGGTGAATCAGAAACTCATTTTGTAAACTTACATCTAAACACTCTATCTATCTATCTATCTATCTATCTATCTATCTATCTATCTATCTATCTATCTATCTATCTATCCACCTTTCCATCCATCCATACCCACCCCAACCATGTCTCAGGCAGCTCTATCTATATCACCAATGTGTGGCAAACACCTAAGAACAGAATACATTTTAATGACCAGAAGAGATTAGAAGACCAGCTCAGGGAAGTTAGTAAGATAAAACCAAAACCAAACTCACTGCTATCAGGTCAATGCTGACTCACAGTTTCCAAGACTATCATTATTTACAGATGTAGAAAGTCCAGTCTTTCACAGAGCTGCTGGTGGTTTCAAACTGCCAAACACGTGGATTGCAGCCCAACTCATAACCACTACACCACCAGGGCTCCCATGATATAAAGTGCCAAATGTTTGGTGGTAATGGCGACTTCTATGATCAAAGCTCAAATATCATTACCGGAGTAATGACAGTAAAGAGTGTTTGAAAGTAGAGCCCAGAAAGATGCCATTTCTCTGGAGACTAAATGGGGGACCTTTACAAGAACTAGAAAGGTTGTAAACCGGAGGGGGCGGGGGAGGGATCAAATGACCTGAAAAAAAATAGTGAACAATGGAGTATGTGTGTGTGTGTAGTGTATGAAAGAGACCGTAAAAACTTTAAGACCCCCCACCCCAGGGGGACGAACAACAGAAACATGGGTGAAAGGAGACATTGGTCAGTGTATTAAGATATGAAAACAGCAATAATTTATAATAATTTATCAAGGGGTCACAAGAGTGCGGGGTGGGAAGAGGAGCTGATACCAAGGGCTCAAATAGAAAGTAAATGTTTAGAAAATGATGATGGTAACATATGTACAAATATGCTTGATACAATTGCTGTATGGATCACAGGGACAATTCTACCCTGTCCCATATATAGGGTCACTATGAATCCACATCGATTTGGTCACAGTGAGTTTTGAGAAGATCAAATAGGTTTTGCCTTTGTATCATACAAGAAATTACAATAATTATCTCGAAGAATATTAATGAGGAATGTATTTTAATCCCAGGTCACAACTTCAAATAAGAAAAAAATAAAAGAGCAGCAGACTGTCAGTGTAGTAAGAAGAAAATTGTGGGATGCAAAAGGATGTTTCCCCAGATTGTCTCCCCCCAAATAAATGCTGCTTGCTACACATGATAAATGACTAGAACCCAGAAAGAACCCTGACTAGTTGGAGGTCAACACAAGCTGCTTATAGGTTACCTCCCTGAGGTTTATCAACCATCTACAGAAATCAGACTGCATAGTCTGTCCTACCCTAAGTAGGACCTCTCCCTTCTGATAAGGATAGTGCATTGCCTCCCTGAAGGAGAGCCCAGAGACAAGGTTGGGCCACTCAAGGATGACCAAGGTTAGGCTCCCATCTTGAGTCTAGGGTCCGCCCATCTTGTCACATGTGTACCTTTAGTGTCACCCCTTCCGATTACATATGTACACCTCTAGCTCATCCCCTTCCTGCCGTGTGCATGCCTCTGGTACAGCCCCTTCCTGTTATGTATGTGGTTACCTGTAATCAGGGGGTCTTGCACACCTCTAAGTATATACAGGCCTTGGTCAGAAATAAAGAAGGGCTCTCTCCTCCTCTGTGCAGACTTCGCTGCTGTCACGGCCATCCTGGAGGTGAGCATGCTACCATAAATTATGTCTGACTCCTTTAGTTTACCTCCTCTTCTATCTCTATCTTCTATGACTTTACTATGATCTTTATATATTATCGTCGTACAATTGTGCCTACAGACCCAGATATTGTCAGAGGCTGGTTACTCTGACAAATGGCGCCCAACGTGGGGCTGCATGAAAAGAATTGTTTTGAGTTGTGCCACATGTAACAATTGTACAGCTCCACTGGACGGTAGAGTGAATCGGGGAAATTGTGTGAAGTGAGGATCTGGTTGGGGGATTAGCAGATAAGTAGGAATATGAAGAGTAGTACCATTCTCTGATTTTACCATAATCTTTATGTATTGTAACAGTACCGGTGTGCCTGCAGAACCCCATGATTGTTAGAGACTGGTTAGTCTAGCAGAAAATGACACATGCTTTGACCTAGGCTTGAATCTAGCTCTTTCCCTTACTGGCAGCATGATGTTGGGCAGTTCTCCAAACTTTTCATGTTTAACCGTAGCCTGTCTCCATACTCTCCCTCAAGTATTTTTTGAAGTACTAAATAACATCTTCACGACCAACAGTGCATGGTACATAGCCTACATTCCTATAGCCTTTCCCTTCACCAGCAGGGTTAAATTTCAGGCAGATTTCTCTCAGATAATCCATAGTACATCAGGATGGCATCAAAGTGGCTACTTCCGATGTTGTATAGATAGTTACAGGGTGTTACCTATGGTAATTCTGTGTTCCTAGTTCCAGCTGGCCATCCCATTATCATTCAGAAAACTAATTAGGGTAGACTGGCAACCCCCAAAAGGAGACTTTTAAGGCAAAATGATCCTCTTCTCTAGTCCTCTGGGAATGAGAGCTAGTGAAGGGAATATTCTGCAATGTTGGTGAATCTCCAAAACGCCTCATTAAAACAGAGGGCAATTATTCAATCGCAAAAAGTCTAAAGGTCTTCACACCAAAACATTCTTTGAAGGTTGGAGGCAGAGAGGGAAAGGAAAGGGAAGCTACTAGTACAGTAATGTGTGAAGACGTGTTAGGCATAACCAAACACCTTGAGAGAATGAGTTGCTAGGCCTGGGGAATGGTCTTGGAGGGCACCAAAATCAAGTGTCCTAACACAGTCCACAAAGACAATACTCTACACATCCTAGATGGTGTGACTTACAACTGTTCAGAAAGAGCTCACGAGAATGTTCTGGATAGAGTGGGAGAACAATGTAGAACACAACTCAATATCATAAGAGAGACCAGGCCCACAGGTCAGGTAGAGACCACAGGGGCCCTTCAAGACTATGGCCCTTGCCCTTCAGGGCTGGAAAGGAAGTCACTTGTGTGTAATCAGCCATTTGAGATCAAAAGAACAGCATTTCCCTAGGGACAAAGTCTGGAGAGTTGAGAAAGGAGTGAAAACAGGAGACAGAGGGAAGAAGTGGGATATGGGATGGTACACAGGAGGGATTGCAATGGATGAGAATTACATGTATGGGTTGAATTATAAGACGTATGAAATGCTGCGTGTAGTAAAACTCTGTATGTTCTGTAAACCTTTACCAAATTCACAATAAAAAGGTTTGAAAGGAAAAAAAAAAAAGGAATGCAATTTGAGTCCCTCTGCGGTGTAAATCAAAAAGTGCAGGAATTTGGGGGGATGGTGTACAGCTGCAACACTGCCTTCAAAAGTATGTCGACCTAGATGGCTACGTTAAGAATCAATAGCTTCTTAGTAATATTTTTGTATTACTAAAAGACGCTATTATTTTATAGTAATACTTTTTTGACTTCTATGTATTTTAATACTTATTTCAAGAGTTAAATGACTGAATTTGTGAAGGCATATTAATAATAGTCTCTTAGCACTCATTTCTCATAGACTCAGAAAGGTTATGAGATCTTGGGAGTCAGTCTCATCAGATAGCAATAGAACTAAGACTATAATTTAAGCCTTATAGGCTCCAACCCTGTGCTCTTTCCCCTATAACCTGAACGTTTAGAATACATCTTTATAAACGGATACCACTGAAAACTTACAGACGGCCTATAACCCCACATACTCTTCTCGCAGCCAGATTCTCTCAAGTAGTGTGACCATTTGCTGGGTCTCAAAATAAAGACCTTCCCGCTTCCAGCCTGCATAGCTGGTCCTAGGTTCCCAGCTCTCCTGGGCCCAACCTACCTGAGTGGTACAGATTTTCTCGCCTGCACTTTAAGCTTTGCGCCAATGTCCCCACTATCGTTCCATCGGGTTGTCATCTACTCTGCAGCTGCCCAGCACAAACATCAAAAAACCCCTCTCTGGTTTTTCTGGAGTGGGGGCCGGGGGGGCTGAAGGGGAGGTTTCTGATGAATTGAGTCGAGTGTGCTTGGTTGGTAACATTCCCAGCTGCCTGATACTTTCCACAAGGAAGTGATGCCTTGGGACAAGGCGCAAGACATCTTCCCCACTTTCCGTTGGAGCTGCGGAGCTAAAATGGAAACTGCCTGGTGCCTATCAGAGAGTCTCACCCAATCACTCATGTGTCTCATCTGAAAATAAAAGCCAAATACACAATTCTTCATTTTTTGGGTATATATTTACAATATAAATACTAATTTGTTTTCAAAGTACATATTCTTTTAACAATTGGAGAAAGTTATCTAGCATGGGGCAGCAGGTCAATGTGAAGTCTCTGTAGTGGTGATTAAGGAAAAATAGAACTGCTTTGGGGTTCAGAGGTCCAAGAAGGAACGTGAATGAGCACGGTGGTCAGAATTTGTGGGAGGATGTGAAGCAGCCTAGTCTGCATTGCACTGCCAGTACAGCGTGTTAACAGTTGACCACATGAGGCAGCCACCTGCATGGGGTCTTGGGAAAACCAAACTCGTAAAAATGCAGGTATACATGCTTGCATAGTGCGTTAATCTTAAAGAAGCTCAATAGCTCATTCTCACGGTCAATAACTTAAAGCACTTAAAACACATCACACAAAATTAAAGACTTGTGCATATATTTCGGATGTCAACATTAAAGTCAAAAATACATAGTATGATTTTACATGGGATTTGTGCTACATAAGAACGCTAGAGACAAACATCACTTGAGTATTAAGGGAAACATTAAATATTAAATAACTGGGAAATAAAATGTGTAAACACTAATCTAACTGGGGGTTTTGCTATTGCAACATGTCCAATGAAGTGGTTTCAACAGTACAAAAGGGATTAGGACATAAGTGTTTCAAATCCACTTGGAATATATGGATCTCAGTCCAGAAATCCTTCAATAAAAACTGGTCCAGGACGACAGGAGAGGTCCCACTCTCCTGGATGTTAATTTGGTACACTCCGTTCTATGCTAATTTGTACTTCCAAACTTGGGTACTGAGAAAATACTTTAAATTGTCTTTCCTTATTAACATCTTGGTGAGAATTGAGGGTTTGTTGGCGATTCGGTGTAGGATTTGAGTTCATATGCAGCACCGCTATCAACTTCCATGGACTTTCTAGAGAACAGGAGCCGGACATCTCTGTGGAGGTAGATCTTTCCAGATTTAGAACTCTGGAACCTAAACAAACAGGAAAAGATGCATCATTTTAGGAGCATGAGTATTTGAAACAAACAAAAATTTGACCAATCTTGAAAGCAAGAAAAATTAGTCTTGCTACACTATTAGATTAACATTAACTCCTCGTATTATAGTTAAGGTCTTATATCGCCAGATCTTAGATCCAAGCAAGATGAAACCCTCGACAATTTACCTCTACGTTTATCTCAATGTTACTTATTGGAGAAAAGACTGGAGTTGTCTGGGACTTCATCTTGCTTAGATCCACAATCAATGTTTCTGGAAGCAGCAGTCCAGAGATCAAAGGACACACTGCAGTGCACTGCATTCCATTAGATAAAACTACCCAGTTGAAAAGCAAAGAGGTTACTTTGAGGACTAAGGTGTGCCAGACCCAAGTGGATCACCTCATATGCATGTCAAAGTTAGACACTGAATAAGGAAGACCAAAGAAAAGGCAATGCATTTGAACTACAGTGCTGGCAAAGAATATTGACCCCACCATAGACTGCCAAGAGAACACACAGATCTGGGTGGGAGGAAGTATGGACAGAATTCTCCTTCCAGGCAAGGATGGCTAGACTTTGTCTCAAAACGTGGGACAGATTATCAGGAGGGACCAGTTCCAGGAGAAGGAACAACAAAAACAAGGAAGGCCCTTGACAAAATGGGCTGACACAGTGGCTTAAACTTAAGGACAATTGTGAGGATGGCGCAGGATGGGTGGCACCACTTTGTTGCACAAAGGTTGCTCTGAGGAAGAACCAACTCAAGGTACCGAACAATAATGATTGCCCAAACATACGCTTCTATTTATGTGTCCTCCCTACCCTCTTCTCTTTTGTTCCAATGTTTGAGACGTTTCTTCCTGTAATCCAGTGGTCCTCAACCTTCCTAATGCCGCCACCCTTTAACACAGTTCCTCATGTTGTGGTGGCCAACCATCAAAGCATTTTCGTTGCTGCTTCATACTGGAATTTTGCTACTGTTATCAACCCGCATGTAAATATCTGATGTGCAGGATGTATTTTCATTAAACATAAGTAAAGCCTAGTGATTCATCACAAAAACAATATGTCATTACATATAGTGAAATATTTATTTCTAATTACAAACAAATGAAATGTTGTCCTGAGGCATGTTGTCTTCACGCCGGGTACTCATACGCAGGTGTATCTGCAGGTGGGTGGACCGCCCTGGAGATGGAGAGAGGAGCAGTGTCTCTTTTCCTAAGGCCATCAGAAACATGTGTTTTCTGAAGGTCTTGGGTGAACCCTGTGAAAAAGGTCATTTGACCCCCTAAAGGGGTCACAACCCAGAGGTTGAGAACCGCTGCTATAATCTGTTTCAATTACAATCTTATTTTTCATCCCTGAAAAACATGTGCACTTTTCCTCTTAAACAGTATCAACTTTCAGTTCCTATCAGTCAATTACCAAAATACCAAACTCACTGCCATTTAGTCTATTTCAACTCTAGCGACCCTATAGCTTAGAGTAGAACTGGCCCTGTGGGTTTCTGAGTTTAAATCTTTCCAGGAATAGAGAGCCTCCTCTTTCTCTGATGGAGTGGCTGGTGGTTTTGAACTGCTGACCTTTCAGTTAGCAGCCCATTGCATAACTCACTGTGCCCAGTCAACTACATTATGCAGTTTTGCTTTGTTTTGGTCCTTTCGCAGCTCTGGCATCATCTAGCCACTTACTGACCCACCCCACTCAATTTGGGCTCCCGTGATTTAGGTTGATTAAAATATAGTCTATTCTTGAAAAGTCACCACAGAAAATGGTCATGTTTTGAGGGCACTGCTATCATCAATGCAGGCTAGCTAAATAAATCTTAACCATAATCAAAAGCCAAGTTAGTAATGAGGTGAAAACAGTTATTGAAACAGTGTATGACATTGTTTCTTGCCTCTGCTAGAATACGATGGGGAACCCCAAAAATCCTGGGATCTCCCCCCCTCCGATCCCCCCCCCACCAAGGCTATGTATTTAAATGTTTTTACAAAACAACCTATCACCAGTACTCTCCATTGTACTTAATACTTCCGTCAAATCTGCAACTCCATTCTTGAAAACATTTTTCAAACGCGTCTGTTTGGATGGCTGCCGGCACCTCCCTCATTTTCTTTACCTCTTCTACTCATGTCCCTCTTCATTTGTGGAAACAAAAGGAAGTCGCACAGAACAAGGCCAGGTGAGTCAGGTGCTTGGGGCAAGAGCATCATGTTGGTTTTTGCCAGAAACTAATACACTGAGATGGCTGCGTGAGCAGGTGCATTGTTGTGGTGGCAAAACCAGTCCCCTGTCTTCCACAATCAGGTCTTTTTGTTGCTCACTGATATGCTATCTTTCAGAACCTCTATAGAGAGAGCTTGATTAACAGTCTGACCTGGTGGAATGAACTCTAAATGCATTATCCCCCCTCACATAAAAAACAAAACAAATGAGCATCATCTAAATCTTTGGTTTCACTTGGGTGAGGTGACGGTGTTTTCCACTGGCTTGATCGAGGTTTATGAGGTTGTAAGAATAGTACCATGTCTCATCAACAGTAATGACCTTGGGGGAAAAAAGTCTGGGTCACTTCTAAGCTGTTCTTTCAAAGCATGGCATGTTTCCACTCGATGCTTTTTCCTGCTCAGTCAGAACCCGTGGCACAAATTTCTCAGCAACCCTTCTCATTCCCAAATCTTCTGTTAAAATTCGCTGATCTCCAAAAGAGTCCAGATAACTTCCCCATCTCTTCAATGTCCATCGTAAGGGTTTAGCACAAGTGCACACATTTTGCTGGCATTTTCCTCCGTTAGGGAAGTTGACCGACGAACAAAATGAGGTTTGTCATCAGTCAACATTGCACCTTTTTTTGAAAGGAGAAAACCACTGGGACACTTCAGTTTTCCCCATAGCGCTGTCCTTGTAAGCGGTGTTCAACATCACAACCGTTTCTGCGGCATTTTTCCAGAGCAGGAAACAATTTCACAGCCACATGCTGTTCTCTCAAATCGGCCATCGCACAAAATGAGGTTTGAGCCAAACTGCTTTTATGAAAAATGTACTGTGACCAGAGAGAACCTTCCTAGGCAATGCTACTGGGTGCACTGACTGAGTGAGTTGCTGGATGCTCACCTAGTGGGGAAAATGTGTACTATGAAAGCTCTGCCCAGTGGAGCTTTTCCCCAGTTTTTTTGGGTGCCCCTTCTTAGCATAAGACGTCCAGCTGGAGGCTTTGTACATGTAAACTTACCTGCATTTAGCCAAACACAGCACCAGCGGTGATAATCCCTTTGTCTAGCCCTTGGCACTGTAGAAGTACTCTTGGTGGTGAAATGGGTTCCTGTACGTGGCCTTAAAGATTACTGGTGGCATAGTGGTTAAGCACTCAGCAGATGGCCAAAAGGTTGGTGGTTTGGGCCCACTAGCTGCTGCGTGGGGGACAATCTGCTTCCATTAATGTTTAGAGCCTTGGAAACCACGGGGCGGTTCTATTTGGTCCTCAGAACGTCACTATGTATCGAATTCACTTGGGGACAAGGAGGTTTTTGGTTCTGATTCTATTTGCCTTGGTTGGGGAAGCTTCCACTAAACCAGGAGGAGTTTGCCTTTGCCCTATTTTTTTCTATCCAGAGGATTTGCTACATTTGTCCAGGCTTACTGACATTTCCTGGGTCAACTATCAACCACCTGTGGTTTGCTACTTTTTGTCTGTCGCAGGGCTGCAGTCTGCCCTGTGACTGGCATGCGCCTCGCAGGGATTTGACTGATATAATATGCAAGGGAGGTGACGATGGCCTGGTATGAAAATGAAGTGTCTTCGGCCTATGGAGAGGGATCAGTCAGGTCGTGCCCCCTTCTCCCTACTGAAAGGGCCAGGTCTTCGAATTGAAGAGGCAGTTGGGTATATAGGCAACCAACCCCTAGAGGCTTCCAGACAGAAAAAAAGTAGAAAGGGAGCCATGTAGCAGGGAAAACCAGAAGGGTGCAGGATGAGGCAGAAAGATGCAGGAAGGCAGGTGGCAGGAGAGAGAGAGAGAGAAACCCCCTCACAGAGGTAGGAGCCTGGTCAAGGGCTGGAACACAGAAGATAGCGGCATGCCAGGAAGAGGCCCTGTGGGGGGCACGGAGACCTGCAAGGCCAAAAGGAGTTGAGAGAGCTGTCACGAAGGGTGACTTCGTTTCCCTGCTTCCTGGTTCTCATCCTGAGTTGGAGCCTGCTCTCTCCTTAACCAACCACTGAACTGGCAGTATGGTCCGTGCCCTTTGGGTCTGTTCCAGGGCACTACCTGGCCCCTAAGAACAGCACCGAGAGCGAGGAGAGACATGGCCCGGGTCGGAGCTGACAAAAAGGTGGGCAGGTGGAAGCCTATCTGACGTCCACTTCCTGGGAATCAGCTTGGGGCTGCAGCTAGTCGTCATTCCTGCTGACGCTGCTACTACTCAGCCATTTTCAAAAGCCCCTTTTCCAGAACAAACTAAAGATCTGGTGGTCAGTTGTATAGGTAAAATGACTCATTCTTCTCCTTGCTACTAAAGTTTACCACTTCCCCAAACTGAAGAATATGGTGCGTTTGTCTCCCCTCTCCGCCAACGAGGTTCCTTTTCGGCATTTAAGGTACTGGTAACTAAGTATGATGTGGGGATTATAAAAGCTAGTGGAGCTGACTTGTGTTTGTTTACGTGCTTGGCAGCTGCTCCGCGAGGGAAAGATGTGATCGTCTGGCTCCCTATGGGAGCATTTCTTCCCTGTTTTATAGCACAACTAAGATTCAGAATCGGCCAGGTGGCAATGGGTTCGATGTTTGGTTTTAAGGTTAAGTTTCAAATGGCATCAAAAGTTTCATTTGGTATCAAATGGGAGTTCAACCTTTTCCTACATTCAACTAAGGCATTCTCATAGCCTTCTTCTATTCCACACTACTTGGCACAATGGCTAAGTACTCAGGGGCTACGAGAAAGGTGGCAGTTCAAATCCACCTGCAGCTCACTGGCAGAAAAGACCTGCTTCCACAAAGGTCAGAAGCTGGGAAACCTTACGGGACCGCTCTAATCTGTCAGACAGAATTGCTGAGTCGGGATTGACTTGCTAGCACTCAAACAGGGACATTGTTTTTTCAAAAGTCCTCCAGGTCCAGCAACCACCTACGGCATCCGTTGGTCCAAGTTTGCCTGGGATAGATCAATCGTCATCCTAACAGTGAATCGCAGAGCAGAATTTCAAATTCTCAGGGAATTCAGGTTTTTCTAGAGCTATGGAGGCCAGAGCCAAACAAGAATTTATCTTACCTAGCAAAGGATACCTGGCTGGAGCACTGTGCCTTTTAGAGATCTTTATCTATGGGATCAAACGGACAACAACCTCAAAGTTTATCAATGAAACTTTGCGGGGCAGGGAGTTTATGATAACTGGGGGAGGGACAGCTTGTGAATGGTTACACAACTCAAAGAACTTGATCAGTGCAACACGTGTGAAACTTGTTGCACTGCTGCATCTTCTGCTGTGCATAACCTCAACAATAATGCAAATCTTATCAATGTATTTCTCCCTGCCTGTTCAGGTGCCTACAGTATGTATAACATCTGCGGGGAAACCCCTGACAGGTAGTGCTAGGGTGAATTTAATTCCATCGTGCAGATCCATCGCATCCTTCGGATGAAGGACAACAGAGAAGACTCCAAGAGAAAAGCACAACGTAAGCGTGTTTTTGGAGAAGCCAACTAACGTATAAGACTTCTGCAAGCATGGGACTTGCTTTCTGTATAGCTGCTATTCCTCTCAGGCCACCGCTACGAGCCAGATCTGTTACAAGGCAGCCGGCTGTCTCCACCAGTAAGTGATGAATTAGTTTCCCTCTGCCTGGACCCCAGATGAAGTTTATCTTCAGATGAACTGGGCTCCTTACTCATTAATCCTAGAAACTATAGTAGGGTCCCTTCAAGGGCAAACAAATGGCTTCTCACAACCTAGAGCTGCCTATAAGGCGGCTAGTAGGAGAGTTAAAGATGCATCTGAGAGAAGCATTCGAAAAAAGGTCTATGCGAGCGGCCATCAAGCTCAGAAGCAACAAAGCCCACATGGAAGAAGCACACCAGCCTATGCAACCACGAGGTGTCGAAGGGATCAGGTGTAAGGCATCATCAGAACAAAAAATCTTACCATAGTGAATGATGGGGGGAGTGCAGAGTGGAGACCCAAAGCCTATCAGTAGGCTACTGGAGATCCCCTTGCAGAGGGGTCTCGGGGAGGAGACGAGCCAGTCAGGGTGCGATGGAACAACAATGAGAAATACAACTTTCCTCTAGTTCCTAAATGCTTCCTCCCCGCTCCCACTACCATGACTAGAATTCGACCTTGCAAGGCTGGCTAGACCAGAGGATGTACACTGGTACAGATAGGAACTGAAAATACAGGGAATCCAGGGCGGATGAGCCCTACAGGACCAATGGTGTGAGCGGCGAAACAGGGAGGGTAGAGGGAGAGTGGGTAGGAAAGAGGGAACCGATTACAAGGAACTATATGTGATCTCCTCCCTGGGGGACGGACAACAGAAAAGTGGGTGAAGGGAGACATCGGACAGGGCAAGATATGACAAAATACCAATTTATAAACTATCAAGGGCTCATGAGGGAGGGGGGAGCAGGGAGGGAGGGGAAAAATGAGGACCTAATGTCGGGGGTTTAAGTGGAGAGAAAATGTTTTGAGAATGATGAGGGCAATGAATGTACAAATGCGCTTTACACAATTGATGTGTGTATGGATTGTGGTAAGAGTTGATGAGCCCCTAATAAAATGATTTAAAAAAAAAAAAAGGTCTATGCGAACAGAGATGTCGTCACTGCTGTCTCTCTGGTGCCTAGATACATGCCTGGCACCTAAGTAATTTGTTGACCAGGAGCACGAATGAATGAAATGAATAGGTTAAGAGCTTTCCTGCCTGATACCCCAGCCACTGGCCACACGGGACTCCCCAACCCCAGCCACTGGTCACACGGGACTCCCCAACCCCAGCCACTGGCCACATGGGACTCCCCAACACTTGAAATGCAGCTAATTCAGAGTGAACTAGGCTGCAGATACAAAATCCATACTTGATTTTGAGGAATTTGTATAAGCAGAGAATGTGACAGATTTAAATTCTGATCATACGTCAAACGACTTAGATATACGGAGTTAAATAAATGCTAAATTAAGAGCACCTTTCTTCTTTTTAAACAAAATATAGCTCAGAGCCCTGGTGGCACAATGGTTAAGCATTCCTCTGCTATCCTAAATGATTGGCATTTTGAACCCACTCAGGGGTTCATGGGAGCAAAGACCTGGCAGTCATCTCCTATGAAGATAATTATGCAGAAAGCTCGACCGGGCACTTCTACCCGTAGTAACACCGGGTTACTGACAGTTGAAAAGTGACCTGATGATGGTATCTAATAACAGCATTAAGAAACGCAGGACTGCATAGAGAGCTTGATTACATTTCTCTTGGACAGCGCTGGTTTCGTTGTTTCACAGGGCCCTGGATATCAGCCTAAGTGCTAGTTCTGATATAGACATTTATATCTGTAACATTTCCTAGCTAGAAGTACAGCTTGAAGTAGTTCCTCGAGCCATATGACTGCAGGACATCCTAAGTACATAAGCTGTGTACTTCCTGCATCTTGGCCCATCAAGAACTCTTAAGCTAAGTTCAATGGGCACTGGCCTAGCTAGAGTACGGTTCTACACAATAAACTAAAAATATTGGTCTTGTTCTAACATAACATCTTTTCGCATGCATCTGAAGGATTACCTCAGGTGTATGAGGTAGCGTAGTAACCGTTCTGCATGTCGGATATTCTCTTTATTATTAACACTTCTCTTCATTTCTTGTTTGACAGGTACAGAAAAGGTTCTTTGTCGTAGGAATGTCTGATGATTGGCTGGCATATTTCGCAAGTCATATATCACAACAAACATCTTCACCACAGTCTTGTTGGGATTAAATAAGGTCTGAAGAAACAATATAACAATTATTCCTTAAAAAACAATGGTTTGTTGATATGACTCAAAATCATCTTGTCAATAATAAAGCAAGCTTTTAAAATAAAAAGATTACCCTCAGGCACTTCACTTAATAAAGTTTCAGAAGTTTATACCAATATACATCCAAAACTTAAAAACACACAAAGCAATGTAATTATTTCTTTCACAATATTACAAAATCCGTTAACAAATCAAAATCTTAAGCCACAAATTTCATGTTAGTAGTAGACAATGTATTTTGCTTCTTCAGATAACAGTGAAGCTATTAAGAAATAGTTCCATTAATTTAAGCAAGACTCAATGCCGAATGAGTTAAAACATTCCTGTCTAATTATTACAGCCATTTACTTCTTAAAGAAAGTCGACTACAAAGATCTCAAAATATAACTTAATTTTTTCTCACAATTCAATGGTGAGTTAACAGAATTTTATTAAAAAAAAGTAAAAGATCACTAAAACTCGAGTTCGGGTACATATAGTAATTATAAACTTTTTAAAAATTAAAGACACAACTATCTTTTGGAGCACCTATTTGAACACGTTTCCAAGTTTCAAAAATGAAATTCATCAATATTGGATCTAAGTGGCTAAATAACACTTTGTAGTCTCCCATTTGGGTTCGTTTCAAAATGTGCAGTGACACTAGGCCTTTAAAAATCATCATCATCACAATGAACAAAACATTTTATCCTTAGTGATGGCTAATTGGATCCAATGGTACTTGGACATGGATAATCAAAGGACTATTACAAGTACTCATTTCTAAACAAAACCCCAAACTGCTAATCTGACTTTAACCAAATTACCAACACATCAATAGGTAACTTGGTGCCCATGCTTTCAGAAGCTCATCCGTGGCACTGGACATCACTCACTGAATCAAAATGAGAAATACATCAATATTATGATCCAATTTTTGAAGTCTAGTGAGTCTTATAAACATCAACAACCACAACTAGCAAACTAGGTATTAAAACATCATTTACAGGTAATTAAACCACATAAGGAACTAAAGACACACCCAAATTTCAGTACTACAGAGATAAACGTGCTGCCTGGGTTTATGCCTCGTTTTTATGACAACTGACAAATTCCAGCGGCTCACACTTTCTCATGAGCTACATAGTCAGGGGCAAGATAGTAACACAGTGTTTCCCAAAGTAGTAATACTGCCCCCTGGAGCAAACCAAGAGTCTGCAAAAGCAGCCAAGATGTTAATTGCTGGAGGGATGCTAAATTTTTTTTTCCCTGAAAAGGGGAGGTAGCCGAAGTAAGTTTGGCAACCTATGGAATGGAATATGATCAGCGTTATTGTTCAAAAAACTCATTCCATCTAAAATAAAAATCATACTTTGCTATGCAGTGATTCTTCCTCAGCAAAGTGTATACGCGTTGCTGCAACACACACACACATATTGCATAGTACGGCTTCACTGTTGTGCGATAACGAAAGGAATGTCGTCTGCGGCATGAGAACAAAGGTGATGTGAGTAAAGGGGTCTGACCAAGCACTGAACTCCCTGAGGCCAAAGAGTATGTCAACCTCAGTGGATGGGCTCAGACGCCTGGTGTGAGGACCCCGCCTCCCAGAGACTCTATTCAGTCGGTGGCAGGCTTGAGGGCTGGCAGAATTTCCTGCGCCTAATTTACAGGTTAACCGCAAACCAGCTCATCACCCAGACCCCGATATGTCAGATTATATATCTCCCTTCTTTGTACAGTCAAAGCATTAGGATCGGCTTTCGACATCATTCCACTAGGAATCTATCATACTGTTTCCCAAATTTTCCTGCCAAAGCAATACTAATATTTGGGGTCTCCTTTTAAATAGATCAATCTCAAGCTGACTTATTATATTCAATGGAAGGTAATGGTAATGCCAGGTTCTAATTATACTGAAAACAGCTCTATTAAATGAAGTAAACTGTCAATGTGCTGTTTTTCTAAAGGGTTCACCTTGATTATAGCTTTAGTAATGCTTTCCTTTTACGCAAGTCCCCAAATGGTCATTTCTGGGGCAGAGCAGGGAAACTCCAAACAAAGCTGCAGCCCACGGTTACTTACCAAAGTTGTCGCAGCAGCAGTAGCAGGAGAAAGGGCTAAGTTCTACATGTGTGTGAGAGAATGATTATTGCAATTGTAGGCTAGAAAACACATACCACTTGTATTGTTCCTGAAGGAGGTACTCGGTAACCCCTTTTACCAAGGGACTCTAGAGAAATCACACCCTTAAAACGAAAGAAAACACATTGAGTACATATGGACACACATGCACATAAAAGATTTAGAATATCAAATCATGCAATTACCAAGATCGCAAAACTCTATTTGTATGGGGGAAAAGCCCAGCATCTAAACTGTACTGATAGAGCGATTTTCAGTGAGTTAGGGCTACATTAGGAAGAACATTATTTTTGTTCTTTTTGGAGACGTTGCAATGAATTAATACATGACATCAGTGGTCACACTCTGAAATGTCTACATTGAAGAAACAAAAGCCAAAAGTTCCTTAACCAAAAAAGAGAGGGAGGTTAGGGAATTATTTTCAAGCATCCTGAGGGGGACAACAGAAAAGCAGACAATCTTTTATTGTTTTGTAAACTTGTAAAAAGTCCCATGTGGAAGGATCCAAATAAAACATGCCTTCTCCCTCCCCCAACACACCCCCACTTTCATAAAATGAAATTTCATAAAATTCATTTTTCTTGAATTTTAAAGATATCTGTATCTCTGGCAAGAGATACAGGCAACAACATTCAAGATGTTTATTTCTTCTCTATAAGTTATAATTGGTTCCCTAGAATTAAGTATCTCTTTAGAAATAATCTATATGCATGCTATGTCTCAGCAAGGTTTTATTCGGGTATCAGTTTTTAGGAGGAGGGAAATAATGTATTTGTAATCTAAGAATCAAAATTGATTCTAGATCAGAACACAATGAATTAAAGTCTGAGAACTAAGATCTGCATCAAAGTGAAAGCTGTATTAGCACATCTGGCGTAAGGAAGCCTAAAGGTGGTAACTGGAGTCTCCTGGGACTCGGCTACTCAAAGAATGGGCCTCAGACTAGCATCGTCACATCACTGTGAACTTGTTAGAAATGCAGAATTTCCAGTCTCTGTTCAAAGTTACCCACATTAAATTGTTATTTTAACAAGATGCCCCAGAGGATAGCAGGTGCACATTAGAATCACAGCTGTAGTATACGACGTACTTGTTCTGAGAATTGCTAACCAATTAGTCCAAAAAATGGGAAATGAATCTAGATTAAAATAAAGGAAATTCAAATAGCGTGTGCTGGCTTTTCCATAACCAGAACAGACAAATAACCACAGGTGGTCATTGTGGTATTTAAATCTTAGTTTTAAGAAATGAGAGAGTCATTCTTTGAGCTGGGCTAATAATCCTCTTTCCAATGGTTAAGGTAGAACAGATAAACTGCACACTCTACTTTTTACCGTTTTACCTTGTACATACCAAAATGTGCCAGCCTTGTGAAAATAAGAAACAGGCTGTCCCGCCGGGCAACATCTTTGTTGGGTTTGATAGTAAAAAGGAGTAGACAATGGTAAAACACTCACTGCCGTCAAGTCAACTGCTATTCCTAGGGATCCTATGAGAAGAAGGGCCCCCCGTCGGTTTCTGAGACTGGTAACTTTGTACGGGTATAGAAGAAACCTCAGAGTGGCTGGTGGTTTTGAACTGCTGACCTTGCGGTTAGCAGCCAACGCATAACCCACCATGCCACTAGGAAACCCTGCACCCTTTAAGCCCAAGGTAACAGTACTTGACACCAGACTGTTGAGTTAGCACATAAATACTGGGAAGTGTTCATGAGAATGGGTTTTGGAGAGACAGCCACAGTCCTTGAGAAATCTGATTTATCACAAGATCATGTAATCACATTATTGTAGACAGGGCACAGTTTAATTTTAGTCCTTGCCACCCTAGTTTCCAAAGAGAAAATGCTCACACATATTAGAAAACACAAACAAACCCCACATATAGAAAATCTCCCACACGTACAAAAACCTGTGAAGAAAAAATTACCCCCCAACCTATGCTTGTGTTTCACTGAATGTATATGATGTTAATAGTTATAAAAACATAATAGGAACCAAGTCAATTTAAGAGGGGAAAAAACAGATTTAGAAAAACTTTGTTTAATGCAAGAGTTCATAACAATTTCTAAGCAATGTAAATATAGACTTTCTTCTGATATTTTACGAGAATAATAAGGTTAAGAATCCAAATGGGATAAAAAATATCATCAACACCACCACCCCCCAATTATTGTGGAATAGGAGAATGTGCAAACCCTAAGTAGGAAACTGGAAGGAGTGTTGGATCTAATCTGGCTACATATAGATGTCAAGAAATCATACATGATCATTCCACTGGCACTGGGACACCTGCTTTAGACCTGGCTTCAAATTCTTAACGAACAGATTAATGCCAAGGCAATCACTTAACAAAACCCTTCCCAGTAGCTATGCAAAGTCATTTGGGCATGGTTCCCGTATGTTTTGGAGGCAGTGACAACATCTTGTCTTAACCTTCTTTACATGCCAATGAAGATCTGGGGTTACTGTTGCTCTGCTTGTTAAGAGCTCAAACCACCCCACCTCCTGAGGGGCACGCATTAACAAGTGGGCTCATTTTAAGCCGGTTCAACATTCTATCTGTTTCTAAGCCATTCTACTGGGCGACAGTGACCCTGCCCACTTCTGGCACACTGTGGTGTAGTTAGCAACTCTCTCTCTCTTCTTTATTAAGTAGGTGCCAGTAAATTCTGTGAAACAGAGGAGACGCTGGGATGTCATGGTAAAACAAAAAGGGTCATCCTTAATCTTATATTCTAATATGGTTGGCATCCCAGTATGATGCACATTGATCCTGAAACTCAGTGTGTCTCAACAGTATCTCCCAATTTTCTAATTCTCAAAATCAGAGGGCTTCCCTCCCCCACCAAAATGATACCACTATATTTTTCTGTGGTAAATGAGTAGCTGATTGCATAGGTGATAACTAGCTAGGTCTCTGAAGGGAGATATCTCTAATTTTGATAACAAGTACTGTACAGCTTCATGATTGTGACCTACCAGCAACAACAAAAATGAAAAAAATACCAGGGGTTTGTGGGGAACAGAAGGATTTCTCTTAAGTTGTCTCCCCAAAATATATACCAGACTTAGCTGTTTAAGAGTGACTGTACAATAGGTGATCAGAGAAAGTAGGTCAGAGGTTATTCTCCTTAACATCAGCCATCTATAGTGGCTAGACTATTAGTCTGACTCACCCTAAATAAGACCCACTCCCTTCTGATAAGGATAATGGTGGTCTGTTCACTTGCAGGAGATACCAGAGGGCAAACCCGCCCAAGGATGACCAAGGTTAGTTAGTCATTATCAGCTGTCTAGTTCACGCAGATACCATTGTTATTTCCACAACCAATGTGGGCACACCCCTAGGTGATTCCCCTCCTATTGATTGTATTGCTTATGTTACTACCCCTATGTTAATACCCCTCCTGGTGACTCAGGTTATTGTCCACTATCAGGGAACTTGCATGCCTCCCAGAATAGTAATTGTCTGTTTTATTATGTGAGACATTAGAGTGATCAAACTTGTTCTAGAATGAATTGTATTGCCCCTTTCTGTGATGTATGACTCTATGATGCCTGGTTAGCAATAAATAATGAGGCTCCCTGGTTCTCAGGGAGGGTGGCTGAAGAAGGTGACTAAGGAGGACGAAGCAGCGGCTTCTTCTCTGATGGCTAAGCCCCCTCCACGAGGACCATCAAGCCCAGCTGAGGTGAGCTATGCTACCATGAATTGCGCCTGACTCCATTACTTGAGTCTATCCTTTAACTCTCATGCTCTCTATGACTTTACTATAATCTCTACTTATTATCGCTGTACAATTGCACCTACCGAACCTGTGATGTTTTGTGGGGTTCCCTCTTCCCCTTAACCCCACAGGGGTTGGAGGAAGTCTTAGAATAAATAAGTACACAATACTATATGATGTTTTGCAGTTATTTTTTAATCAAGGGGTCAAATATCGACTGGGTGCTTGACTAAAAGTTGCACCATTGGAAGAAAGTAAGTCTTACCCACCTTCCTTGAGCCTAAATTACCTTATTAAGGAATAGGCCATATTTAGGTTCCTTAAAAGGCATACTAAAACTGCGCTGGTTCTGTTTTGTTTCTCTGCCACACCGATATCCCTTTTCAGAGCTCTTATTAACAACGAAAGACAGTTTGACTCATGTTTCCAAGGACCCGAGAAGCTCTAGGAGAGGCAGGAGTCGCCAGACCTCCCCGTTGGTCTTTTGGAAAAGGTATGATTCTAATCATACATGAGGATTCTCTCAAGTACATGCAGTCCATGGCTTATCTTACTCACAATCTAGCAAAACTAAAAAAGCAGATCAGATTTTAAAAGATATGGATAATAAAAGGCAATACAGGAAACTAAAGCAAAACAAAACAAACTCGAGGCTCTTGACTTACATCACACTGACAGGATGGGTCATCTGTAGTAGTTGGGGACCACTTCTATGGGGCATTGTGGAACCCTAGGGCTATACCAAAGCAGTCCAATGACAAACTCAACAGGAGCGAGGCGTTGGGGGCTCACAGAACCTTAGAAACCGCCAAATCCTCACCCCACTTCTACTAAGAACAGGAGAACATGGGCAGGCAACTTTCGTAGGACTAGAGCGCACAGTAAGCCATTGAGAACATGGAAGCACGGTAAGATCTAGAATATCAGTTTAATCAACCTTATTTTCACATCACAGTATTTTGTCAGCACTGTTCTCAAATGGAAAAAGGCCCCCCAAAAAAGTATCTGTTCTTAAAGCTAGCTCAGAAAAAAGTTGTGAGGTGATATTTTGGGATATTAGTTTCTACTCAGTCTTCAATTTTCTATTAGGAAATGCTTTTTATGTTTAAGCACTGCACCCAGGCCACACTCCAAACTTTCTTTAAACTCAGAGACACGTTTTCATAAGCTGACTGGTTTGGGTAGGAGAAAGACAATTCGAAAGATACTTGCCATGTAAGGAGAGGGAGCGTTATCGTCGGAAACACTGTAGAATGACACTTCAACTGGAAGAGTCAAATGGGTAGGACAGAAAACACCACTTGCCCCTACCTCGGCAGTAAACCCATCAACAATGCCGAGAGGGTCCAAGCGGTAGTTCAAGACAGACTCCTGGAAGACAAGATAAAATAATTTTAAATCTGCCATCCGACAAAGTCTCCCCGTTCAAACTCCTGAGAAACGCTTCTTGAAATTCACCACTTATTAGACTTAGTTGTTTTATGTAATTTTTATCTCCATAAATTAAAAAAAATAGGCTCTGCAACAATAGGAATACCGGGTCCACTTCTGAGGGGTCAGTCACGGACAACCTTATCAAAGCAGCGGGACCTTGTCTAACACGGTGCTGGAAGAGGAGTCCCCGGGTTCACTAAAGGCAGCAACAGATTCCTTGCAAATTACAGAGGGCCTGGGAGTAGGATTGTGTTGGAACCTTTGGGGTCTGTGTCAGAACTTTCCGTAAGCGACTTCAACATGTTATATAAATTTTCGCAAGCTGAATTCTCTGAAAAGTTCGATATTAATCTCTTGATCATTTTCTTCTTGTTAAGGTTCTCATTTATTGCATAGTTTGCTTTTCCGTATAATTTCTATTACACTGCAAATTTACTTATTTCTTTTGGCCTCTGCCATTTTAAATCAATAAAAAGCAGGAACAGAGTTCAAAATATTTGAACAGATACTTTGGAAGTGACATGGAAAAGATGTCAATTTAGCATTAAACAGCTTTCCTTTTTACTTCTACTAAAACCATGAAAGTTTGCCTCAATATTAAAATATTGCATAAAACTATTATAAAACCACCCTACAAAGTTATTGGAATAAAAAATAAAAATGTTAAATTATTTTCCAAAAATAAATTATTAGCACTTATTATTTACTCTTAAAAAGTCATTTACAGAACCCATCTAGATTTATAAAAAGCTGCAAAGATAGGACAGAATCCTTTCATTTTGAAGGTCAGCTTACTTGATCATTGAAAACCAACACCATCGCCACTGAGCCACAGTGAATCGATTAGAGTTTCTTGGGCCTGAAGGGAGCAGGTAGCCCTCAGAGTAACTGGTGGGCTTGAACTTCAGACTTGGTGCTTAGCAATCCAATGCTTGTCCAAGATCACCACCATGAAAGGGGCTGTTATCGGTTTATCACCATCGCCCTTCCTGAGTCCTGCAGCCAGTTTCACCAGACAGGAAGGTGTGGGGTCAGAAGTTTACTTGCTCAGATTTCACCAAAGTCCTTCATGGCCTCTCTTACTTAATGCTAAGATGATACTGTCAGTAATCCCTTCAACTTTCCGTTTCATGAAAAAAATAATCATCCTGATGATTATATAGTCCATTTACATACAAAATTATAGACCTGAATGATACCTTAACACAGGTTAAGAAATAGATGAAGGACCAGGTGAGCATCAGTGTCCATGGCCCTGAGACCAGAACTAGACGATTTCTGCTTACCACTGCTAACTACTCCTCTGGAGGGAGTAGGATAAAAATGTTAAGGAAAACTCAAAATCATAAAAAAAGACCAGCTATCGGTCAAATAAAGGTAGGTAGAGCCCTCAGGACTATAGCATTTGGTCACCCTTCAGATCTGGGGCTGAAATCACCACCATTCAGCCAACCAACCAACTGGCCTATATAAGAAACACAAGTGGGATATGCAGACCTTTAAACAGTCAACTATTTGAGGTCAAAAGAGCAAAGTTCAGATGGAAAGGAAGAGAAATGGGAACAGGAAACGCAGGGAAGAAGTAATGTTATATTGTGGGGATTACAATGAATGAGATGAAACAAAAGGTTTATAAATGGATGAATCCAAAATGAATGATCTGCTCTGTAAATCTTCGCCAAGTCACAGTAAAAATTAGTAAAACACAAAGGACATTCATAGAGGCCTAAATATAGCCATGTACTTATATAAATATACATAAAATGAGAGGGGAATAGAACTATGTACTCATATCTATATGTTAAGAATTAAGGTTGCAGATGGAAAATGGACCTCAACTCACGTACTCCTTTACACAAAAACACTTTGTTCTAACAATCCGGCATTCTGTGATGATCACCTTCCCTACACGATCACTGAAGACAAAATAGGTTCATAAGATAGCTGATGGTTCCTGGCTATCAAAAGATATAGCATCTGGGGTCTTAAAGGCTTGTAGATAAATAAGCGGCTATCTAACTGAGAAGCAACAAAGTCCACATGGAAGAAGCACACCAGCCTGTGTGATCATGAGGTGTTGATGGGATCAGGTATCAGGCATCTAAGACCCAGAATAAAACCATACCCAAGGTGAATGGGGGGCCGGGCATGGAGTGGAGACCTAATGCGCATCTGTAGACAATTGGACATCCCCTCAAGAAGGGTCAGAGGGAAGAGATGAGCCAGTCAGGATGCAGTATAACACCAATGAAACACACAACTTTCCTCTAGCTCTTTGGTGCTTCCTTCCCCACCACTATCATGACCTCAATTCTACCTTACAAGTCAGATTAGAGCAGAGCATACACACTGCTACAGGTAAGAGACCGAAACACAGGGAATCCAGGATAGATAAAGCCCTCAGGGCCAATAGAGAGAGCAGAGATACTAGGAGGATTAGGGGAGGGTGGGTGGAGAAAGGGGTAATCGATTACAAGGATCCACCTAGAACTCCCTCCCAGGAGGACAAATAATAGAAAAGTGGGTGAGGGGCAATGGAGGATGATGTAAGATATGGAAAAAATAATCTATAACTTATCAATCGTTCATGAGGGAGGGCAGGCGGGGAAGGAGGAGGAAGAAACGGGGAGCTGATATCAGGAGCTCAAGCAGGAAGAGAATGCTTTGAAAATGATGATGGCAAATGTGCTTGACACACTGGAAGAATGTATGGATTATGATAATAGACGTAAGATCCCCCAATAAAAGTATTTATAAAAAAAATTAGTAAAACAAATCAAGCACATTACCTCAAAATTTCCTAGTAGACTAAGACTTGTGATAGGTGGAGCACTAGAACTCAGAAACGGTTTTTCATGAATATCTGGATCATCCTCAATGTTTATACACTGTTGTGGACTATCGAAAAACAAATTGGGGAAAGGACACATTACTCAAACGGTTTAACCACCATACTATCTATTTTGGAACAGAACTAAATTAGGAGCATCCAATTCATTTTACTTACACTACTTATAAAACACACCCAAAATTCATGGTTACATTTTATAATGTTATATTTGCCCAAGAAGAGATATATTTCTCTAAGTTTGGGGGTGATAAATACAAGAAGTATTATTTTCCAACATGAAAACAATTGGCAAGGTCTTTGTGCAAGGGGTATGAGGTAAAAGTGAAAGACTAGAAATACACAATCCTCCAGATCCTATAACCAGTGTAAATTATTATGATTTATTATGATGACTAACATAAAACAGCAACTCGTCATGCTAATTTCTTTCCCACGGTTCTTAATCATTGTGTACCTGTGCACACGACATTATGCTAAAAATAATCACCGACTGGAAAATAAGATTCCTGCTAGAATTTTGACCCCTAGGGTCACTACTGTTTATTGTGTGAAAGACCAGATTTTGTGTCCTTCTCAGTCAGATGCACAGATGAAGTTTAAGATAAATACCTTCTAAATGATAAGCTTTTCAGGTGTAGTAATGAAGCATCCAGATCAAAGCAACCCGACTGGGTTTTTCTTTGAGGAACCTAAAGGGGAAATTATCATGTGAGATATTTAAAGACTGTAAATACTCTGAACTGGTAAAATACTTTCCAAATGAAAGTTAAGTCTATCTTAAACATAAAGTTTCTCTCATAACATGGGTTTACTATGTTCTTATGCTCTAAGTCCATCAAGCGATGTCAAAGCTTATCATTCATAAAAGCGCTTTTACTAGGGTTTGATTTTTCTAAGAAGCATACGTATTTTTTCCCAAACGGACTTTTACATGGAGTTCCAATATGTAATACAGGTAAGATCTTTACTTTATCGGCTCCTGTTGTATTTTTATGGCAAAATCAAAGATGAAGCATTTTTGAAGCATTTTGAACCACCCTACTGAAGCATTCCCCAAGCTCCGAGGAGCCATGGAAAATGGTTCCAAAATTACTATTCAGAACTGTCAACTCAGTTCATCATATTAAAGAAAACAAACCACCATTCAACTCCAACTAGCCATCAAACGAAAGACCCACATGAAAAGTAAAGGTAAAAATCACTTATGACCTGAAACTTAGAAAGCTTCTCATATCACTCAAGTAAGCATTCCTGCCCTGCCCCCACTGTACAGAGGAGAAAGCCAGCTCAGGATCTTTATCAGTGTGACCCCAAATCCCTTAAACAACCCACTCAGATCTGCTGGGTTTTCAATGTCGTGTGGGGACCCTTGAGTAAGATGATTAAGTGGAGAGGCTCCACGTCAGATAGCCATGATTCTGACTCCCAGATAACTCAGCTGAAGGTACCCATCAGCTCCAGTATTTAGATACAAATAAATTTATATAAAATCTACTTGCCACCAAGGCACGGCGCATTAAGCCTTGGCCTTCTAATTGCAAGGTTGGCAGTTCAAACCCACCAGCTGCTCTGAGGGAGAAAGACAGGAATTCCTTGGAAACACTAAGGAGCAGTTCTCCTGTCTTGGCATTGCTATGGGTCAGAATGAACTAATGGCAGGGGTGGGTTGACACCAAGTATTTTCTTTTCATCCAACAGTGAAATGATGTAGAGTATTTATTAGGCTCTTTTAGCCATAGTCTTTGTGAACACCCAGGAACGGATTCCTTTTCTATAGGTCTGGGGAAGAGAAAGTGAGGGATACCGATAGGATTATGTAATTCTGTTCTGCGTGATGGTTAGGCATATTCATTGTGATTGCCATCCTGCTGTGTATAAATGAGCCTTCTCAGAGCGAAGGTCTCACTCCTAAGAAGAGAGTCAAGAGGAGTGAAGTAGACCTTTTGGACCTCAAGACCCCTGTGCACCGAACACCTCCCCTCCTTGACCCAGGAAGCAGCTATGACACTAGAACGGTGTCAGAGGAGTGGCAACAACAAACCCAAGAGCTACAACCTGAGGTAGAGCGAGCAGTGGGCCTCACGGAGCAAGTGAAGCTCAGTGCTTTCGGCCAGTAGGCTGCTCTAGGCACTTAACTGGCCGGGCTAGGTTTGCTGACACAGAGCTAAAGCTGAGTGCCTTTAAGCTTAAAAGTGGAGGTCATGACCTTTGGGCATTTATGGGCAGCCCTAACGGTGTTTTGTACACGGCTCCAACAGGGCAGAGGCTAAGGAGCTGAGGGGCGGAGAGACCAAAGACCAGGTTAAGGCCTGCCTGTAGGACACATCTCAGAAGAGGCTGCCCAGTTAGAATGATTGTGTCCTGAGCATTTGTAACCTGTCAACTTAATAAATCCCATTAACGTGAATAATATCTGTGAGTTTTGTGGCCATTGTAATGAATTCTAAAACCCAGCCCAGAAGTAAAGCACCCAGTGAGTGTGTGCGTGGAGGTGGGCAGTTAGGGTCAAAATTGGTTAGAAGGGTGAGAGGCCTGTGTGACCTCAGTCTTATAGAAATAGGTTTTGAGTGATGCTGATGTTTGGGTTTTCTTGCCCCTTATGAGATGAGAAGTCAGACCTCGCCTCCCTGTAATTCTTTTTATAAATAGCATCTAAAAGGGCATGCAAAAGAAAGGCCTTTGGAGAAATTACATAATCCTGAAACAATAAACCTTATTTTTCCATTCTTTCTTTTCTTTCTTTTTTTTAAAGTATTTTCCCCCCATTTTATCAATTACATGCAAATGGGCTCTCAAAAATAAAATCTTTTTCCAACAAGAAACGTATTTTTTAGGACGTTTTAAGACTTTAAAGAAATCTAAAACCTGAAATGTGCTTATTGACAAACATTGCAAATAAGCTTCCTCAAGTTCTAAACATTAAAAAAGAGTACACAGGAAAAAAAATTATACAGCACTTACAGGACTTGAAAGAAGAGGCAATCCAGTTTGAGGATGGAAGGCCCTGGTTGAAGTTCCATCCAACGAATGGAAATTATGTTTTCGCCAGACATTTGAAGGTTTCAGTGGTGCAGTACTCTGTTAAGAAAATAATTAGCTTTTCATTTAATGTATAAATTCATTAAATGGATTTTATACTCATTCTTAGACATCTTCAGTTGGTGAAGCTCATGATGGAGATAGACAAATTGTGGTTCTGATCAGAAAATATTGTCTAAGGGTTTTTTGGGTAACATGCTAAATAAATAAGCTGAAGTGTTCTAAGGAAAGTATGCCTAAAGTAGAAACACATAAATATTTAGAGTTATGTATAAATATTTAGAATCTAGCATCCAGTACGCTATCTGATCTTGTGAAGATTTACAGCTTCAGAAACCCTAAGTCAAGCCACTTATTTAGAACTGACCTGATGGCCACAAGTCATTAAATTCTAGAACAGATAGTGAATATTCTTAAGGCTAACGTAGTGTTTCCTGGCAGCTATAACTTTAGGAAACTGTAAATTATCACTGAAAAAATAGAAATTGGAAACATGGCACAAATTAAAATGCGAATGTACCACAAAACAGGATAAAGCAGATGAAACAGGTTCATTCAGATGGGATCAAGGCAGGTCAGAAGTAGCTAGCTAGCATACCATACAATTAAGATACAAATTTGGGATATTACTTGCGGAGATAATGGAAATCTGCGTCTAATAATCATTTTGGGGGAGTTAAATAATTTGATGGGAAGTCAACTAAAATAAAAGTAACTTAATTATTTTGTGTATTTTGTATATATATAAAAAGTTTACAAAGTATTTAAAACTTATTATTTGATCCTCACAATTCTGTGATAGGTAAAAGAGCTTTATTGTTCTTATTTTAAAACTGAGGAGGTTGAGGTTACTAGAAGTTAAATGACTTATTTGATATCATTCGAGGGCTAAACCATGGAACCAAAACGGGAACCTAACACAGCGTCTAATGACTTCCCTACCACGAGTGCTAAAGTCATTAGTTGGTCATTGGCATAATACAAATGGCATGCTGCTTGAACTAGCCAAGAGCTACTAGAAAGCAGTAGATTAAGCTAATGACAGTTCCATTTCTGATTCTGGCTTACTCTCTAGCAAATGTTCACAAACATGACAGTACACCAACAGGAGCAACATGAAGAAAGTAAAAAGATATGTGGAATAGGTGACGATAAAAATGTAAAAAAAGAAATATGGAAAAAAAAGGAGAAGAAGAATGTAAACAAACCAAGGAATGTGACAATCCACAAAATTGCCTTAGGTAAAGATAGAGTAGTAGAAAGCATCTTGGGTTAGGGGTTCAGAGATGTCCATGTGTGCAGGGGCCAGTTCAGTCACTAAGGATCTGTGCAGCTATTGCTATGTCAATAAATCTCTTTGCGTCCCACCTCCCTCAGGACAACTATCTCACGGCAAAGTATAAAAAAGAACCAAATGCTCCATAAAGTGATGTAAATGAGACTAACATACTAAGAATATGTAATTCTTACTGTATATTATTTGCTATACTATATATAACATGCAGTTGTTTTGAGTTGGAATTGGCTTGATTGATGACAACTAACAACAACAACTATAACCTTTATTCTCCTGAATCCACACACCAACCATTAAAAACGTAGGCGCTACTAAAAGAAAACACTCTTTGATGGGTACCAAGGGTGGGAGGGGAAGGGAGGGAGGCGACTGGCTAGTAGGCAGACGCAAGTTAATTTGGGTGAAGGAGAAAGCAGCAAGGGGGAGTTGGTAAAAATGATGGACGCAGGGGAAGAGTTAAAGGTTGTTAACCGAGGTCAACAGCGTCATTTAGATAGTCCTGCAATACTGGTGTGATCCTGCATGGATAGCCATGCAAGCTGGTGGGTAAGGGAGGGAGAAGGGAAATAGACCCAAGCATCTATAGGCTTGACAGAGGACATCTGTACAAAGTTACCTTTGCTGCAGATTTATCCAAGAGCACAGTGGGGTAGGGCATACGGAGAATGTAGCTATGGGCTGTTTTTGAAATAACCAATACCTTGAGGGCATGAGCCGATTGAGGGGTGCAGGGGACCAGGACAACAGTCTCAGGGGTATACCGTGGTCCATCGGCATAACACAGCTCACACGGACAATATTTTACACCCTACTTTGGTGAGCAGGGATTGGGGTCTTAAACAGTCTGTGAGCTGCCATCCAAGGGGCAACTGTTGGCCTCCCCTGTGTGGAGGAAAGAAGAGTGGGGGAACCGGAAGCTGTATGGAAACAATTAACGGAAGCTATATGGAAACAATTAGTCCAATGGGAAAGTGGCCCACACAACAATCAGACTCCATCACCCTGAGACCAGAAGAACTACATATGATGGGCAGCCATCACTGCCAACTGCTCTGAAAGGGATCACATTAGAAGGTCCTGGACACAGCGGGAGAAAACCGGGGAACAAAACTCAATCAAAAGAGTCCAAGCTTACTGATCAGATACAAACCGATGGACCCCCCAGGACTATTGTCCCTGGTCACCTTTCAGATCCAGAAAATAATTCACTCCCCTGGCTCGATTTTCTGCCAAACAATAGACTATCTATAAGGGGAGCAACAGCCCTGGCAAGGTGGACACAGCTTAGCATAATCAACAGGTTGGGGTGGAAAAGGCAGCCTGGACCCAAAGACAAAGTTCAGAAAGGTTGGAAAAGGAGGAGGGATGGAAATGAAATACAGGGCGGAAGTGGCATAATTGATGGTACATTGTGGCGACTGCAGTCGATGAGCTGAAATAAAATGTGTATGAACAGTTGATATATAAAAACCCCCAACCTGGGTGCTATTTAAACGAAAGATTGGTGGGGGGGGGGGAGCAGGCCTAAAAGATAATAATTAATAAACCAAAAAAATAGTTTAAAAAATACAATAAAATTACAGCTAATTTCCTTACTAGACTGCTGTTAATTCTGACTCACAGTGATCCTATAGGCTAGAGTAGAAATCCTTAGGATGCCAGAGTCTCATAAATCTTTATGAGAGCAGAGCAGACAGTCTTCTTTCTCCTCAGAGGCTGATGGGTTTGAACTGTGGACCTTCCAGTTAAGCAGCCTCATGTTTAACCCACCGCAATACCAGGGCTCCTTAGCTGTTTTTAAGAGGTAGGCTTGCCCACACCCCGCTTAAGTAAACGGGTTATTTACAAGGATGTTGACACTGGTTCTGCAGATTGTATCAGACGGCATGTTCTATTAATAGAACACACCTTGAGCTTTCATAACCAGGTCTCTTGTGAACAAAAATGCAAACCAATTCAAGCCCAGAGATTAGGAATTAAATTAAATTAAATACTGTTACCTACCAGCGCCTCTGTGTTTTTCAGTCTTTCACATGTGGACAAACAGTCTTTTACACCCTTTCTCTCAGAACTGCTTTGCGATGTTTCATAAACTGACTCTTCATTCTTAGCCCGTTCATTTTTCAGCTGGTCGGGCTTTTTGCATTTGAAGTCTTCCTTATCTTTAATGCAATAATTTTCTACACTGAAAAGCTGAGTATTTTCTTCACGTGTCGCAGGCCTGTTTGAGTCTTTATTTGAGCACTTATTTTCACGTTTGTACAGGTATTCGGACGTTTCCAGCACAGCAAGTTTTATTTTAGAGTCTAATTGGTGATTTTCAGAAGATTCTGGACTGCAAGCCTCATTTTTTATCATTTTCTCCTTATATTTGTTGGTGCAAAATGATTTGTCAATACCATGACAATGTGAATACTGGTTATCAAGTCCACTGCTAATGTCTTGCTCCTTCAATTGATGTCCAAGAAGACTATTTTCCAACCTGCTGGTCAAGTCTAAATGGTTTTCTTTGCAGCGAGACATGCTTGAGGATGTCGCTGAGTTAGTAGCTTTGTCCTGCGTCTCCTGAAACGTGCACAGAGGGGTTGCACAAGGTTTTCCTTGGTGCCCATTTCTTACAGGAGGGCTCAGGGAGGCACTCACTTTGCTATTGCAGTTAAGAGAACTAAAAGATGGGTCTGGAATTGGGGTTTTCCCCTCACCGCTGTTTCCTAGCAGGGACATTTTTTTATTACAACTGGAAACCGAGGCATTGTTCTGGGTTTTCTTCAGCAAATGTTTGTCTTCGTATGAACTCCTAAACAGTTTAGAAGGAAGCAATCTAGAGTCTTGCATTCTGAAGGGCTGCCGGGGGATGTGCGGCGCCGTGGGATCAATGTGCTCCAAGTGTTGTGCGATCCTTGCAATAACCTCTTGCCGCTCCTGGAGCAAGGAGCCTATCAAAGGATTAGTCTCACCAATGGGCTGACGAGAATAGAGACCATTAGACAAGCAAGAGTCGCTTCGAGGGGTTTCAGGCTTGCCTCGGATTTTCCCCTCACCGCTGTCTTCTGGGGAGGTAAATTCTGGACTGCCAATAGAAATGGAGTAAGTCTCCTTACATTTCCTCACATTTTCATTTTCTTCTGTCGCCCGGAAGAGTCTTGAATTCCGTGAACTGGACTCTTGGGTGCTGAATGGATGGCCAGACACCTGAGAAGCGCTTGGATCACAATGAATCAAATGCTGAGCAATTCTTGCAATAACATCTTGACGGTCCTGAATTAAAGAGCCTATCAAGGGGTTGGTCTCGCCCACAGACTGCCAGGAAGTCTGGTGGCTGGAGACACTGGGATCAATCAGCGAAAACGATTTCAGGGTTCTTGCTGGTGCTTCCTGTGACTTCGCGTCTTCTGTCCCACTGAAGCCCAGAAGGCTGGCTGGAGATGCCCCATAGTCAGATCGACTGCCAGTGCCAGGACACAGCTTGACGTTTTTGACAGCTGTAGTATATTCCAGAGTTGTGCTGTTTTTTGCATGCAGCACGCTTTCGGGTGCCATGGTCCAAGTTTGTTTGCTACACAGACGCTGTGAATTGTTTGTACACTCCGTTTCGTTCGAACTGCGGTGCAGATGGGTTTGAAGTGCATGCTCTTGAATTCTTTTCTCATAAAGGCCAATGTTCGTGTGAATACTACAGGTCAAAACTGGATAATTAGATTGTCTGGGCAAGGACTGGACACTGAATTTCAAGGCCACGTTGTGAGAAACATTGGGAACAGGAAACACGTGTTCAATTGGTGTCTGGGAAAAACTCCACTGTAGATCTACATCAGCAGCACTGATTCTGGAATCAGACAAAAACACTGAATCAATGGGCTATAAAGTTACATCCTCATTACTGTACACTACAATGAATTTGAAGCAGGCATATATAATTACTTACATTTGATGGTTGGCGTGAATTGTCAGTGAGGCTTTACTAAGTCAACTGTTAGCATACATGTCTTCCTAATAAACTCCTAATAGTGACATTAACAGATCATGGGTAGAATAAAAAATGGATCTTTTTAAAAACATTTAAATTGTTTAAAGAATTAAAGTGTATGAATGAAAACAACTTAAAATTATTTTTCAAAATCTGGGGGTGGGCGGGAGACAAGACTCTCCATTTGCTCTTAAACAGATGTGGCTAATTCTATTCTGGAACAAGACTACAAGATGCTTGCCATCTCGTCTTGGTCACCTGCCTAAGGAGACGATGAGACATCTGTCCAGCAACCTGGGTACTGCTACTTTTCAAGATTCAAAAAAACCGAATCTGTCTCATTGTAGAAATTCAGTAGCCCAGAAGTGTTTCCCACTTTACAATGGTAAAAATTACTTTTTTCGGACAACACTCTTATGCTAATTTAACAAGCAAAATGCAGTCATCTTGTGGAAAAAGGTGTCCAACAGAAATATAAATTTCTTGAACCCGTTTTGAGAAAAAAACATACTGAGATTGTATCTGTTTATATTTCGGGATGAAAGAAATTAATCACCTAAAAGGTAAAATATAATTCAGCAGTTAGCCAATGTGGCTGAATATACAGCGTACTGTGTTTTCACGAGACCCACCGGTAAAGAATATTCCGTGGAACAGCACCATGAGAAATACTCAGCCAAGCACTTAATTGAGAAAAAAACACGAAAGAGCGGACAGCCAACAGAAGAGTCTTCTCTTCAACAAACCGTTCACCGTTCCTAGGGGAAGGAACAGAAAATCACACGTCAGCACAAACGAAGGACTGGATTTTGGAGAGGTGGAAGCTTAGGTAAACCTATCACCTATGAATTCAAGACCAGAAGAATACACCTACCAGTGTTGCTGGCAGTCACATGAGCACTGAATATCTAAAAGAAGTTGTCATGTAACAACGATGAGAAATACAACTTTCCTCTAATTCCTAAACGTTTCCTCCCCGCTCCCACTACCATGACTCGAATTCGACCTTGCAAGT